CAATCACCAGGTAGGAGGCTTGGCATGGGGCCAGGGTAACCCTTAAAGCAGAGTTCCAGTCTCCTCGGCACTTTTCTACAAAAAGCACCTCCGTGATTCTCTTCAGTTGCAGTATATAATTAGGGACAGTGTTCTAAGTGTATGTCGTTTGCTTACTTGCAAATGTGACATTCCTCAGCAGGATCCCAGCAGGCAGGCAGCGGCCATTACTAGTGTGGGCAGCTGAAGCCAGCTCCTACTTTCTTCTGGATCGGTGCAGCTGGCTACCCAGCATGCACCTCCTGATCGCACACACTTGCGCTGTAAGGACACAGGACGGCACACTGTTGTTTGTAGGTTGCCACGGCGGAAGATCCGCCCTGTTGTTATGGCAACCTGTCAATCATTCCTCCCGATAACATCACTTCTGGTCAAGAAATACCGCAAGACTTCACCATCAGGCTTCCCAAAGACACCTGGGAAAACCAATGGCGATTTCCCAAGAGTCCTAGGAAAGCACCTAATGACAAAATCGCCTAGGTGGCCGGACAGGAAGTGCAGGATACTGACAGCAAAAAAAGGTATTTAGAAATAAATATATACATAAAAAAATATCCCATAACAGACTGTTCTGTGGGTGGGCATTGTGTGGCAAGGATCATGAAAAAAAGGGTGGAACTCCGCTTTAAATGGGACAGAGCGTGCTCAGCAGCAGGAGACTTCTGGTGGAAGATGGAGTGAAAAGGCTGCAGTGAAAGAGCCTGGGTGGGGGCCCAGTTGTGAATGGGCCCACCACCAGGCAGTGGTGCTGGAAAGGAGGTAAGCTCCAGTCCTCATCGGCCCCTGGAGCGAGACCCACCCGTGCAGCAGGGAAGGAGCCAGCCCCAGCGGAACGCCTGAGAGCAGCCACCAACCCAGCAGCTCATAGGAACAGGACTGAGTGAGTCAACCTACACCCCCTGGGCCAGTTAAGAGGAAAGAAGCATAGAAAACTGGATTTAGCTCCTTTTCCAGGACTGTTCACTACTGTTCCCACAGGGATTCCTTCAGATGGCTGCATAAAGGAGGACTATCTAGGTCCTGGGGTGGTACACCAGGAGAGACTTGTACATAGTTCTAGAGAGTTGTCCTCAGCTGCAGTTCCTTTGGGCATCCCCATACACCCCTTACCACATCCAAGTTCTAAACCTCGCAATAAAATCACAAAACCAAGCTCAAGGACTGGTTACTGTCTCCTGGATGCAAGTCTGTGAGGAACGCATGTTGCCTGGCTGTGCAGGACAATAGGGGGACCCAAATCTTTAGTGTCTCCTAGGGGGTAGGGTACATTTGTTCGTCATCACCTTTTCCAATCAAAGAATGTTTTGCGTTTGAAAGGATCTAGATAACCTCCATTTTGTTGATGTACGCCATTTTAAGTATTAAGTTAGGTTTTTAAAGATATATTAGAAGTTTAATGAAACTGTTTCAGCTTGCTCAAGGATGTATAAACAATGATAAGATGACCCTGAGCTTTCTGTGTTCAGCCGATTCTCTCAGAAAGCTAGCAGAAACAGTTATACCAAGAAATGTATATGTCAAGTTTCATGTAGTTAGCTCATGATGGAAAACTTACAAATTGCATGTTTTGAAACTCGTTCCCCCCTCCCTTATTTCTTTGGTTCTGTACCCTATTATCGTCTAAGCCAGTGGTTCTCAACCTTCCTAATGCCGCGAACCCTTTAATACAGTTCCTCAGGTTGTAGTGACCCCCAACCATAAAATTATTTTCGTTGCTACTTCATAACTGTAATTTTGCAGTGGGGGAGCGAGTAAGTGCCTTGTCATTGGTGTCATCTGTGAGGAATAGTGTCCCATCACTGATGTCAATGGGAGGAATAGTGCTCAGTCATTGGTATCAGTGGTAGGAATAGTGCCCCATCATGGTTGTCAGTGAGAGAATAGTGCCCCATCATAGGTGTCATGTGGCTGGGAATAGTGCCCTATCAATTGGTGTCAGTGGGAGAATAGTGCCCCATCATTGGTCTCAGTGGGAGGAAATAGTGCCCATCATTGGTCTCAGTGGGAGGAATAGGCCCCATCATTGGTGTCAGTGGGAAGAATAGTGCCCCTTCATTGGTGTCTGTGGGAGGAATAGTGCCCCATCATAGATGTCAGTGGGGGGAATAGTGCCCCATCATTGGTGCCAGTGGGATGGAGGAATAGTGCCCCATCATTGGTGTCAGTGGGAGGAATAGTGCCCCCATCATAGTGGTCAGTGGGGGGAATAGTGCTCCAACATCGTTGGTGCCAGTGGGAGGAATAGTGCCCCATCGTTGGTGTCAGTGAGGGGAGGAATAGTGCCCCATCGTTGGTGTCAGTGGGGGAGGAATAGTGCCCCCCATCCGTTGTTGTCAGTGGAGGGAGGAATAGTGCCCATTGTTGCTTTCAGTGGGGGGGGAGAGGATCGTTGGTGTCAGTGGGACACCATCGTTGGTGTCAGTGGGAGGAATAGTTGTCCCGTCATTGGTGTCAGTGGGAGGAATAGTGTCCCGTACATTGGTGTCTGGTGGGAGGAATAGCGCCCGTCATTGGTCATCAGTGGGAGGAATAGTGCCCATCATTGGTATCAGTGGGAGGAATAGCGCCCCATCATTGGTATCAGTGTGGAGGAATAGCGTCCCATCATTGTTTGTCAGTGGGAGGAATAGCGCTCCCATCGTTGGTATCAGTGGGAGGGGAATTGCGTCCCATCATTGGTGTCAGTGGGAGGAATAGTGCCCCATCGTTGGTGTCAGTGGGAGGAATAGTGCCCCATCGTTGGTGTCAGTGGGCAGGAATAGTGCCCCGTCATTGGTATCAGTGGGAGGAATAGTGCCCCATCATTGGTATCAGTGGGAGGAATAGCGTCCCATCGTTGGTGTCAGTGGGAGGAATAGCGCCCATCGTTGGTATCAGTGGGAGGAATAGCGTCCCATCGTTGGTGTCAGTGGGAGGGAATAGCAGCCCCATCGTTGGGTGTCAGTGGGAGGAATAGTGCCCCGTCGTTGGTCAGTCAGTGGGAGGAATAGTGCCCCCGTCGGTTGGTGTCAGTGTGAGGAATAGTGTCCGGTCATTGAGTAGTCTGTGGGAGGAATAGTGTCCCGTCATAGGTGTCCTGTGGGAGGAATAGCGCCCCGTCATTGGTATCAGTGGGGAGCGATTAGCGACGGCCCCATCAGTGGTGTCAGTGGGAGGAATAGCGCCCATCGTTGGCGTCAGTGGGAGGAATAGCGCCATCATTGGCGTCAAGTGGGAGGAATAGCGCCCCCATCATTGGTATCAGTGGGAGGAATAGTGCCCCATCATTGGCATCAGTGGGAGGAATAGCGCCCCATCATTGGCGTCAGTGGGAGGAATAGTGCCCCATCATTGGTATCAGTGGGAGGAATAGTGACCCCATCATTGGTGAGCGCGTCAGTGGGAGGAATAGTGCCCCATCATTGGTATCAGTGGGAGGAAATAGTCTCCCATCATTGGTGTCAGTGCGGAGGAATAGTGCCCCATCATTGGTGTCAGTGGGAGGAATAGTGCCCCATCATTGGTGTCAGTGGGAGGAATACGTGCCCCCATCATTGGTGTCAGTGGGGGAATAGGCTCCCAAATTATATTGGTGTCAGTCGACCCGGAGGAATAGTGTCCCATCATTGGTGTCAGTGGCGCGGAATAGTGTCCCATCATTGGTATCAGTGGGAGGAATAGTGTCCCACATCATTGGTGTCAGTGGGAGGAATAGTGTCCCATCATTTGGTGTCAGTGGGAGGAATAGTGATTCCCCATTCATTGGTATCAGTCGGGAGGAAATAGTGCCCCATTGTTGGCCAATGTCCTCAGTGGGGGGAATAATGACTCCCCCACTGATGGTGTCACTGCAGGAGTTATCACCACATTATTGGTGTCAGTGGGAGAAATAGCTGGGGGGTTTTTACTGGCTGTCGAAAAAAAACATAAAAAGCCAAAGCTGTAAAAAGTCCCGTGTGCAGGAGGACTTCGCAAAAATGTTAGAAATGTTTTTTGTTTCTGTTCAGGAATTGTTGCCAAACCTGTGTGTATCAGTAATGCTTAGACTGAGAAATGAGGGTACACATTGCAATCTTGTATTGAAAATTTAACTGTAATTAATGTTCCTTTTACATGGGCGCGGCCAGGGACAGTAAAAACAGGAGGTTGATCTGCATTTTTACCACCCCCGGCCGCCGCCCACCTACAAGTGGACATGGTGCTGCTGGGATGTGTATGCACTGTCATGGCGTGATGCTTAGTCTCATGGTGCTGCAGTTCTGACACGCCTGCCTGTCAACTGCTCCGTTGTAAGTGAATGGGGCGGCACCACAGTACTCATTGTTTTGCCGCAGGTGCAATAATCCAGCTCCCTTCCTCTGGATGGATGAAGTCAGTAGCTGACCCAGAGGACAAATAGCTGCACATTTTCCTGGCAGCAAATCTGAAGAACGAACATACTGTATGTCAGGTCTGGTGTCTGCAGTTCATCTGCTGATGGAACATTCATCAATTCCTCAAACAGTGTACCTGTCAGGTGCATATCCCTGGCGTGATGTTACATGAGGGCTCAGTCAGGGAAGATTTAAAGTACAGGCAGTCCCCGAGTTAAGTACATTCGGCTTACGTAATACTCATACTTACGTACACTTCCCTCGGGACCCGGAAGTCAAGCTGTCAGCATTCTTGTGCAGCAAGCTGATAAGAGACTAGCTGATAAGAGACATCAGAGAGACATAAGAGACAGAGACATCCATTGCTCGTTACTTGTGGGGCTAGCAGTGTCTGCCCACTATCTCCAAAGTGATTTAAGACTGTCTGTCTGCACCTCGGGGAGAGGAAAGGAGAGGCTGTCAGGCTGCTCACTGAAGTGATCCTCCGTCTGTGCAGGGGGGAGGGGGCAGCGTGTGCTGTGTAAAGGAGAGCAGAGTTCTCATCTCATACAGTACATTACAGTACAGTGTATTTTTACCCTGCAATAATGCCTCCAAAGCAAAAAGCTGATGCAAGTGCTGGCACAGCAAAGAAAAGAAAAAACAATCTCCTTGGAAGATAAAGTAGAAATAATAAAGAGATCAGAGAGTGGTGAAAAATCATCATCCATTTGCAAAGCATATGGTTATGCTCCGTCAACAATTTCAACAATTTTAAAAGATAAGAGTAGAATAATGGAGCATGTAAAATGCTACATCCCAACCAATGCTACAATTATTACCAAGCAACGCAGTGGTTTAATCATCAAGATGGAAAGGATGCTGACCATTTGGATAGAAGACCAAAATCAGCATAATATACCTATCAGTCTTGCTTTAGTACAAGAAAAAGCTCGGAGCATTTTCAATGATTTACAAAATTGACCCCAGCAGCAAAATCAAGCTCTGCATTACATTTGGATGTCGGAGACACTGTTGCTGCCCAATCCTCTCCAACATGCCATCCTCTGCCAAGATAGTTTAAAGTTGTACTCTACACTGTACAAGAGTTTACAGTATAATATTTGAATGTTGAATTTGATGTTTAAACATTTACATGCACATAAAAGTTAAATATGTTAAGGCAAACATGTGTCCAAGCTGCAGTTCTTATGCAAAACACCAGTTTAGAGCCTCTTGAGGTTTTACTGCTTTCTGTAACCTTATTACAAAAACGTAATCTAATATCCTGTCGTTTGGTTAGTAGTTAGTGCTTATAAAAGTGCCTGATTCAACTTATGAACAAATTCGACTTATGAACAAACCTACAGTCCCTATCTTGTACGTAACCCGGGGACTGCCTGTAGTACCAGATTATTATAGGGGTCTGGGGTGTGGCCCCCCGATATCACCACGGGGCCACAGAGACATATTACAGGAGATAATCAGAGACTGCAGACATGATACAAGAGATGGTCAGAGACTGCAGACATGATACAAGAGATGGTCAGCGACTGCAGACCTACTACAGGAGATGGTCAGAGACTGCAGACTTACTACAAGAGATAATCAGAGACTGCAGACCTACTACAAGAGATGGTCAGAGACTGCAGACCTACTACAGGAGATGGTCAGAGACTGCAGACCTACTACAAGAGATGGTCAGAGACTGCAGACCTACTACAGGAGATGGTCAGAGACTGCAGACTTACTACAAGAGATGGTCAGAGACTGCAGACACACTACAGGAGTTGGTCAGAGACTGCAGACTTACTACAAGAGATGGTCAGAGACTACAGACACACGACTACAGGAGATGGTCAGTGACTGCAGACATACTACAGGAGTTGGTCAGAGACTGCAGACATGCAGAAGAAGATGGTCGGAGACTGCAGACATACAGAAGGTAATGCTAGGATGAGTACGCACTGCCATGGTCAGAGACTGCAGACCGACTACAGGAGATGGTCAGAGACTGCAGACCTATTACGAGGGATGGTCTGAGACTGCAGACATGATACAAGAGATGGTCAGAGACTGCAGACCTACTACAGGAGATGGTCAGAGACTGCAGACTTACTACAAGAGATAATCAGAGACTGCAGACATGCTACAAGAGATGGTCAGTGACTGCAGACCTACTACAAGAGATGGTCAGAGACTGCAGACCTACTACAGGAGATGGTCAGAGACTGCAGACTTACTACAATAGATGGTCAGAGACTGCAGACTTACTACAAGAGATGGTCAGAGACTGCAGACCGACTACAGGAGATGGTCAGAGACTGCAGACCTATTACGAGGGGATGGTCTGAGACTGCATACATGATACAAGAGATGGTCAGAGACTGCAGACCTACTATAAGAGATGATCAGAGACTGCAGACCAACTACAAGAGATGGTTAGAGACTGCAGACACACTACAGGAGATGGTCAGAGACTGCAGACACACTACAAGAGCTGGTCAGAGACTGCAGACACACTACAAGAGCTGGTCAGAGACTGCAGACACACTACAGGAGATGGTCAGTGACTGCAGACATGCAGAAGAAGATGGTCGGAGACTGCAGACTGCTATTTTTAAACCACTGCCTGTCAAATGCTCTCTTGTAAGTGAATGGGGCTCCCCTGCAACTGTGAGCTGAATACTTCAGGAGGTGACAACCTTGCCTGCAAACCTTCTTTCACTGTCCTCTGAGAAACAATCCACCGCGGATAGCTTTTCAGAGGGGCGGTAAACATTTCTCTAGTGTGTGAAAGGAGCCTTAGTGCAAATAAAAAAAACACATCACAAACAGTACTCCATTGTTTTTGCCGCGGGTGCAATAATCCAGCTCCCTTCCTCTAGATGGATGAAGTCAGTGGCTGACCCAGAGGCCAAATAGCTGCACATTTCCTGGCAGCAAATCTGTAGAACGAACATACTGTATGTCAGGTCTGGTGTCTGCAGTTCATCTGCTGATGGAACATTCATCAATTCCTCAAACAGTGTACCTGTCAGGTGCATATCCCTGGCGTGATGTTACATGAGAGCTCAGTCAGGGAAGATTTAAAGTAGTACTAGATTATTATAGGGGTCTGGGTGTGGCCCCTGATATCACCACAGGGCCACACATAATATTCAGTGACTGTAATACTACTAAAAACTGCCAGAGACATACTATAGGAGATGGCTAGAGACTACAGACATGCTACTATGATGGCCAGAGACTGCAGACATGATACAGGAGATGGTCAGAGACTGCAGACCTACTTACAGGAGATGGTCAGAGACTGCAGATCTACTACAGGAGATGCTCAGAGACTGCAGATCTACTACTGGAGATTACATTACATTACATTACATTACATTGAGTTTATATAGCGACAAAGAGGGTTATAGGGCCCTACTCTTTCGAGCTTACAATCTAGGAGGGAGGGGGGAGTGGTACAGGAGGAAGTGGCTGTGGAGTGTAGGAAGGGGGAAGGAGGGGGAGGAGGAGGGGGGCAAGGCATAGGGGGGAGGGGGGTGGCTTCCCTGAAGAGGTGGGTTTTCAAAAGGTA